CCTCCTTGGGTTTCTGAGGCAGTATCACTACGGAAGTAGATTGCCCAACCTTCCTTCCGAGGAGTGGCTGGTGGGTTTGAACTGCCAGCCTCCTGGTTGGCAGTCAAGTGCCTCAGGCACTACACTACCAGAGCTCCCCAGGCTCAGTATACCTTAACCTTATTTCAGTCAAACAGTTGATCAGTGCAAATACCTCCACACCACCATCTGTGGAAGCAGTTGGTTAATTGAATGTTTTTTGACTGAAGTGATCCTTCAGTTCAGTCAGAGTAGAAAATTCATTTGCTCTTTGTAGACCTATTATATTAGCCAAGGTATATCAAGCTGTTGTAGCAAATAAATCCCAAATCTCAGTGTTTAAACATTTCTTGCTAATATAAAATCCAATCAGTGGTGGATGATGCTCTGTCCACGTACCCTCGCTAACGTGGGAATAGGATGTGACATGATATGTCTTCCAAGATAGTCCTGAGCATTAATGGACAGAGGGGAAAGATCACACACGAGGTTTTTATGGACTAGGGGCTAGGACTAGAAGTGGCTACATCACTCTTGGCCACATGTCATTGGCTAGAATTCAGGCACATGGCCACACCTAACTAGGGTGGACTGGGAAATGTCTGTCTATTTGCCTAGGAGGATCCTGATGACTAGCTAGCCAATCTCTACTACATTTACTTAATGACTTTCCTTGAATGGTACCTGCTATCTGATACAAATGATTATAAGGGGACAGGGAGGGACAAGAAATATGGAGGAGATTCTCCTTTGTCTTTTTCTAAGTGGCTGCATCACAGTCTTAAGCATTAAGAGTGAGAAATGTCTACATTCTGAATTCGTAAAATACTTAGTAATTGCTATTATTCTCTTCTCACAGGGAAATCAATGCTCGACTTGATGCTGTATCTGAAGTTCTGCATTCAGAATCGAGTGTGTTTGGTCAGATAGAAAATCTTCTACGTAAATTGCCAGACATAGAGAGAGGACTCTGTAGCATTTATCACAAAAAAGTAAGTTGATAGAAATTGTGTTTATTAAAACTGATAATATCCTATAGCATGTGACTACAGGATATCAAAAGAAAACTTCTTAGAGTAGTATTTTTTTTTTTGTTGTTATTTTTTTAAGTTTTGCTGAATCCTCAAAAATTTTAATTGCACAAATTAAGGTTATCCCATTTTTTCCATTATAAAAAGTAAAACTTACTCACACTAACTTACAGCAACACATATTATAAAACCAAAACCAAATCAAACTGACTTTTGGTTGGATCATCCAACTGATATCAGGTTGGATCTGACTCATAGTGACCCCTCCTTGGATTTCTGAGGTGATAATTACTACGGAGGTAGATTGCCCAGCCTTCCTTCCGAGGAGCAGCTGGTGGATTTGAACTGCCAGCCTTCTGGTTAGCAGTCAAATGCCTTAGGCACTATAGGCCTTTCAGTTATAATGCAGGATGTTCTCATGTTTCATCCTCCAAATACGGGCCCTCAGTAAACTACAAAAGTTAATTAGACTTGCTATTTTAGAAAAGAGATGCTTTATTTCTTTTGATCTTAGAACAACTCCTTATTTGACTTAATGAAAGGAAAAATCTGCTGGTATAATTTTTGTGATAGTATTAATATACAAACAAATTTGGATATTGTAGGTAAATAAAAAGCAACATTTAGATCTTCATCACTTAAGCTTTAAGCTTTTAGTTGTAACAGTAATAATGAGGGGTTTTCTGCACTTAGGGAAATGACTTCCTTTTATATTCAAAATATGCCTAAAATGAAAAAAAAATCAATGAACGATGTTTATAATAATTATTAATAAACTTACTATAGTGCTTTACCTTTTGCAGAAATCATTTACATACATACCTTCTACCCTTTGTTCCCTGTAAAAACTTTATGAGATTGACAGGCACTATGTTTACCACCTTTTTACTAATGGAACATGATGCTGAGAGAGGGTTAGAAACTTGGTAGTAAGTGACAGAATTAGTATATAAACCCAGGGTTCTTGACTGCCACTTCCATGGATATGTCTATTGGACACTAATATTTTGAGGATTTTTTTTTTTTTAACTTTGTGATTTGGGTAAAAGTTTACAGAGCAACTTGTTATCCCATTCAACAATTCATATATATTTTGTTTTGTGGCATATATTGCAACCTGCACAATGTAACAGCACTCTTCCTACTTCCTCTGTTTCCCATTTCCATTGTCCTTCTTTACTCTCCCTTCCTGACTTTTGACCTTTATTCCTAGGCAAGTGGATCTTTTGATCCATTTGACCTTTTGATCCTCTGACCTTTTGATCTCTTGTGGTTGAATGCTCTGAGGAGTGCACACCTCCCTGGGGCATACTCACCTTATAGGCCTGTCTATTATTTGGCTGAAAGTTGAGCCATGGGAGTGAGTTCAGTTCCAGGCTTGAAGAGTGACTAAGGCCTATAGTCTCAGGGATTTTACCAATCTCTATCAGACCAATATGCCTGGTGTTTTTTATGATTTTGATTTTTGTTCCACATTTTATCCCACTCTATCCAAGATCTTCTCTTGTGATCCCTTTCAGAGTGGTTGGTAGTGGTAGTTACTGGGCATCATGTATTTCTTCTGATCTCAGGGTTGTGGAGGCTGAGGTTCCCATGGTCCATTAGTCCTTTGGACTAATTGTTTCCTACATCTTGAATTTTCTTCATCCTGCTTTGCTTTGGACAGGGAGAGAATAGTAGTTGCACCTTAGATGACTGCTTGCAAGCTTTTAAGACCCAAGAAGCTACTCACCAAAGTAAGATGTAGAACGTTGCCTTTGTGGCCTGTGTTATGCCAGTTCACCTTGATGTCTCCTGAGACTACGGTCCTGAGCCCCCAGGCCCAGCAACTCATTCGCTCAAGATCTTTGGTTATGGCTAAGAAGTTTTCCTAGTTTTGCCCCCTTTATACTTGGCTATATTCATGGAAGTATTTGCAGTAGATATAAATACATATGTAGAAATATCCTCTGTCAAACTGATCCATATTCATGGTAGTACCATTCTTCTTCCCACAGCTGTTCAGCTTACATATCTATGTATCCATTTGTGGTTGTTACTGTTATTGCAGGATTATATATGTAATAGGGTTTACCTTCTTTGCCTTTAACTCTTGTGGTTCTCCCTGTGTCTTTTTTTTGCCTTGATCATTTTTTGCTGCCCTTTATTATGTGTTGGATTTCCTTTTACCTAAGTTAGTAATTGAATATTACCATTTTGAATCTAGTTGTTTTGTCTGTATTTTTTTCCCCTAGTTTCCACTTTTCATAAGCAAATGCTGTGTCTTGCCCAAATGGAAGTCCTTACCAATTTAATAATTTTAATTTAGAGAAATTTTTATATACCCCAATTTTAGTTGTAACCAACTTTTTATTAGTGTTTACTTTTTTAGGCCTTTTTCACCCTACAAGTTTCACTAGAACAATCAGTACTGCCTTTGAGAATACTTGCAGTGCCCAAGAGGACTTACGTAACTGTTCCATATGCTTCAGCTAAATTTGAAAACAGAGTACAAGCCAGAATTGAGAATACTAATCCAGAGAGGGGAAAAATGCATGAGTTGCTTATGGGGTCAGTGAGTCCATTGCACCATTATTTGCTATACTATGTTGTTATTTTTCTGGTGATTGCAGAAGCTGTGCTGATCTCTGGAAGTTTTATGGTTGCCGTTTCTGAGATTACAAATTTTTCAGTTGTTTGTCAAAAGAGCTGAGTCAGACCATGTATCAAGATGGTGGTCTCATTCCATGCAGCTATGATTTCTTATGCTCTCTGCCTCTCTTTAAGCTTTATTTTGATGTGTATATTTCATAAATTTTGTGTATTTATACAAGTATCAAAACTTTGGGAAAAGTCAGAATCTAATTCTTTTTAAAATTTCTAGTATACAGAGCATGAACGACTTCTGTCTTTCCTAAAGGAAGGTATGACTCACTCAGAAACTGTTCCTTGTTACTGCTTTAATGTTTATGCAAGCATGTGCTTAAAGATTGTCTTGGAAAGTAAAGAATAGAAATAATTTGGTAACAAACCAACTTTAAGAAGGCTAAATATTTTAAACCAATTTTTTATAGATTAGTTAGCTAACTCTTGGAAGCCACCATCAAACATGTGACTGTTCTTTAATATTAACTTACTCTAAATAAGCTTCAACAGTATGAGTGATGTGTACAGCCTGTGCCAATGATGTGAACTTCATAAAATGGTAAGGAACACTCTGTTTGGATATTATGAAATTGGTAAACCTAGACCATATGGCTGTGTTGAAAGTACCATGGAATATGCACAAATGTGTGTTTTTATGAAGATAATCAAAGAGGATCCCAAGTAGGCTGCTGCTGGTATTTTAAAAATCATTTATTTTGAAAGTAAAACTTCAAATCTTAGAAAATACTGGTAGTCACAGGAACCCATACCAATTTTACTCAGTAACTGTTTTATAAGAAAGTGATTCATGGCTATTAAGTTTGATAAATGCATTAAAAGGATAATAGCACTTCACAAATGTTAAGAGGAGAGTGTATGCAGCATTTTACTGGTGAGAACAATTTCTTAGCTGAGCTAGTATAAATCTAAAGCCACATTTCAGTATGATAGGTAGACTAGGGTTCTTCCATTCCTTTGATGCTCTGCCTCTGCACTTGTAGGTCTGGTCTTCACCTTTGTAAGCATGTAGTGTTAAGTGAGTTCCAAGTCCCACATTTATACAGGCATGCCTTTTGATTGTGTTTCACTTTATTGTTCTCTGCAGAGTTTTACGAATTGAAGGTTTTGTAGCATCCCTGTGTCCAGCAAGTCTGTCAGTGCCATTTTTCCAAAAGCAGGTGCTCACTTCGTGTCTCTCTGTCACATTTTTTGTAATTCTCACAGTATTGCAAACTTTCTCATAATGTTGTTGCACACTTAATAGACTATAGTATAGCATACACATAACTTTTATATGCACTGAGAACCAAAAAATTTGTGTGACTCACTTTATTGGAATGTTTGCTTTATCGAGGCAGTCTGGAACTGGGTCTGCAATGTCTCCAAGCTATTCCTGTATCCTAACACAAACAGTCTAGCCTCCTGTATGAGCTGTGTTTTCTAGCATACAGTGGTCATTATGGAGCAAAAGTATTTTATGACACTTTCAATTCAATTTCTCTTCATTTGGACCTAGCTTCTTTTTCTATGCAGTTAAGATAATTCCCTGTTGTTAATAATTATCCTTCAGAATGTCTGTGCTTAGCATTAGTCCATTATATATATATTACTTATTTTATGTACTTAACGTTTAACCCTAAATCTTTCTCTGATTGCAAGATACTTATTTTCATTTGATATGCTATCAATTCTATTTTCCTGGAGAACTGTTTTCTAGAGACTTCTTCTTCTTCTTCTTCTTCTTTTAAATTGTGATTTGGGTGAAGATTTACAGAGCAAATTCACTTTCCATACAGCAGTTCACATATACTTTGTCTCATGTCATTGACCACAGTTTACCACAATG